TAACTTCAATTTAGGCAGTCATGTATGCATGTACGTATGTGGGGAATGTTTTCTGAGTGTATCTTCAAACGGTTAAGAAAAAAGTTTTTATACATTCGAATATGACAATATGGAGAGCGGTGAATTCACATCAACCACGACTGTTACAACTATCTTGATACTTTATAGTTATAAATGAATCAAGTAGTATCTGACAACGATGAGAAATCACCGATTGATTAGTTTCACTGGTGAAATCACCATTATAGATAAACAGTATAACGACATCATAAAAATAAAGTGTAATTTGAAGAAAGCAAGGACTACAGTTTTAGCAGAATAAAATGGTAACATCTTTTATTTCGTTGCCTTCTCGTCAGCTGATTAAAGGCCAAAGACATTATTAAATATATCTACAAAAAAATTTTAACATAGTTGCACCTGATTTCAATATGGAACATGAAAGTGACGCAAAGTTCCACTTCCTCGACATCGCCATGGAACACCTAGAACACGGTAGTCTTCACAAGTCAATTTATCGAAGGCCTACATGGAAAGGAAAATACTTACATTTTAATAGCTTTTGTCCAAATAGCTTCAAACGCGAACAAGTCAAGACTCTGTACCATAGAGCGAGGAGAATATGCTCTATAGAGAAATTAGAGGAAGAATTTCAGTTTCTTGAAAAGATGTTGAAGAGTAATGGGTACCCTCAAAGGTTCATCAACAAGTATGGAAGATCTGAAGTCACAAATGTAAAACAAATCACAGTAGGAAAAAAGCCAATGTACTTTCAGCGATGATCAACAGAAGGCTGAGCACATCATTAGCCAGAGCCTATCCTGCAACTAAGCTGTTTCCCGTCTATCGAACAGCTTGCTCTGTGATGCAATCAAAATTCGATAGATATCCTCCTCATGTTAACTCCAACTGCATATACAAATTTACATGTATCTGCGGGAGCAGTTACATTGGAAGAACAGAAAGAAAGGCATATCTACGATTTTCTGAACACGTACCAAAAAGCTTACGTCTAAAGGGAACAAATGCTCTAAACACTGCCATCCATCGCCAGGCATCTCCTCCACACGGGTCATGAGGTGGACGTCGAAAAGTCGTTCAAAATTATCAATAGGCAAAAGAGCTCAATTCTCCTCAAGTTTGCTGAAGTCATCTCCATCAAGCGTCTGAAACCTGACTTATGCGTTCAGAAAGAAGTGGTTATCAGTCTTTCTTTGCCCTGGTAACTGGATATTTTTCATCCGAATGCGAGAGGCTGAAAAGTTATCATCGTGTATGATTATTATTGTTCGGAATAGTGTTTAATATTGCATATATATATGCATATATTATTAGTGTGTGCATATACTGATCGATTGATTTTTGTTTAAAATGAACTCTGTGCAAGCATGTTAAAACTGTTTTTGTAGATATACTTTATAGTGTCTTTGCCCTGTAAGCAGCTTACGAGAAGGCAACGAAATAAAAGATGGTACCACTTTATTCTGCTAAAACTGTAGTTCCCGCTTTGTTCAAATTCTTTAAGAGGAATTAATGTATAAAGTGTAATTGTAGGTATTCAGAATTTGTACGAAATTTGAAACTAATCAGATGTTTTTTCTTCAAATTATTCACGAACTGATTTTGAATAGCTTTCACTCTTTTCATAAGTTGAAGGATATATTCTTTAATTTTGAAACATTAAACCACATACATCAAAAGATAGTGATTAATTCAGTTATATGAAATATGTGTAGAAAATAACAGAACTTCAGTTACAGACTCATGTTAGCTGAGTTTGTGTGTTTAGGTGTTGTTAAGACTTCGTGGGTGATTGATGTCCACTGTCACACTAACTCGAGGAGATCTACAAGGCGAAAACCAACAAGTTGGTAGAATAAGCAGCAAAGACAAGACTTCAAGTAAACATTGAGAATATACAGGTGTGGTGGGAGCTGGCTGTTAGCCGAAATCGGTGGACAGTAATTTACGTCAATGTTTACCTCCCCAATATTGGTCATGAGAAAAATAAGAACAAAGACTGACTCAACAACCAATCGCAGCAGACTTTGAGTTGGCGGATACAATTTGCAGAGGGCAAGGCACCTGTGGATTGGAAAAAAGACTAATTATTCAAACTGCCAAAGAAAGGAGACTTAGGTCAATGCAAGAACTGGCGCGGCGCTACGCTCCTGTCCATCTCAAGCAAAATATTAAGCCGCATCATCCTGTAGAGAATCAAAAACGACACGGATGAAAAACTTCGACCGGAAGAGGCTGGATTCATGAGGAACAAGTCATGCATCGATCAAATCGCAACACTACGGATCATCATTGAACAGAGCTGTGCGTCGGTGGCACAGTGGTTAGGACTCTCGCCGACCATGCACATGGTCCGGGGTTCGATCCCCTGCCAGCGCACACCCGATATCTATGGTCGGCCTGAATTTGGGCTACCGATATCCATGCTGAAAATTCCATACTTGTACTGAAAATACGGTGTGGAATCAAGCTGTAAATCAAAATAAAAAAATAAAATAAAAAATGGTAGTTACCTCTCTAACTCAACTTCATTGACTTTGAAAAGGCCTTCAAGAGCGTCTATCGACAGGTGGTTTGGAAACTACTTCGCTACTACGGGGTGCCGCCGACAATTATACACAGTCATCCAACATTTGTACGACAACGCTGCATTGCAAGTAATCCACAACTGGAAACTCAGGGAATCCTTCGAAGTGAAGATGGGAGTAAGACAAGGCCGCCCACTGCCTCCAGTGATTTTCCTAAGAGCGGTAGACTCGATAATGTGACAGAGAAAGGGTAATGAGGAAACAGGCGTAAAATAGACCCACACAGAAAACTTGGAGGATCTGGACTTCGCCGATGATATATGTCTGATTTCCCACAGACTGGAAGATATGCAAGCGAAAAGCAACAAGTTGGCAGAAGAAGCATCCAGAGAAGATAGGACTTCAGGTGAACATAAGAAGACAGAGGTGATGAAGATTCCTAGCCAACAGCAACAATCAGCATAAATGGGAGAAATCTGAAAGAAGCAGCCTCCTTTACCTACCTACCTACCTACATGGGAAGCACCGTTTCAACTACAGGCGGACGAAACTGATGAGGATATCAAAGCGACGATCGGGAAAGCAAGGCAAGCTTTCATTACTCTCAAGTCTGTGTTGAAGTCAACAGCATTCAGCATGGAAAATAAATCCGACAGAGCACGAAAATTAAGTAGTACCAAAGAAAATCTAAAACAAGAACTGATACATATAAAAGAAGCCTTGAAACTTAATAATTACTCGGATAAATTAGTCAGGAAATATGTAAGGAAATGTAAAAATAAAATGATGATAATAGCGAGAGTGATAATAACAATAATAATGATAATAGTAATAATAATAATAATATTGATGACAACACCAACAATAAAGAATCTAAAACATCAGTAGTAATTCCATACAAGGAAGGAACCTCGGAAACCTTATGCAGAATTCTCAACAAGGCAGGAATAAAAGTGGCATTCAAACCCACAAACTCAATTAGAAACAAGCTTTGTCGGCTAAAGGATCCTGACAGTGGAGCATTTAAAACAAAACAATTTAGTTTATCTAATACCTTGCAATGATTGTCAGGTCAAATACATAGGTCAAACTAGTAGAACAGGGACAGTCAGACTAGCTGAACATAAAAACTTAGCAAAATCTAGATTGGTTGACCCGAATAAAATAAGAAATCTAGAGAATAGTTCAGCTTTAGCACTACGTGCAGTCACACACAACCATACAATAGGATGGGATAGGATGACAGTTTTAAAAACTAATGTCACAGGGTATAGAGAGAGATTGATAACAGAAGCTTTGTTTATCGAATCAACTGCAAATACATGTAATAGGAATGATTCATCACCTGTCCCCGATATCTGGAAAATTCTACTCCCCCCTACGACAAATTGGAGAAAACAAAGAAAGCTATAAAACTCAAGTGTCAAAGTCGTGTGATCACAATTGATATGATTATGAACAATAAATTTTGTTCGAAACGTCATCCATTAAATAATACTGTTTCACTGTGTGATACACCTAATAAACAAACTAATATGAAAAATAAATCCGGATTTTCAACTCCAATGTGAAGTCCAGTGCTACTATGCAGATTAGAAACTTAGTCAGCGCGTCACGAAGGGCACTTTGAAAAAACTACAGACCTTCATCAACAGCTGTCTTCGCCCAGTACTTCACTCAAGATCAGATGGCCAGAAAAAATCAGCAACAGGGATTTCTGCGAGCGAACCAGCCCAGCAGGAACCAATTGTGCAACAAATATGCAGGAAGAAATGGAGGTGGATTGACCATACTCTGAGAAAACAAACCATCAAGTGACATCACACGCCAGGCTCTCTCTCCGAGTGGAACCCGAATGGGAAACGGCGAGCTGGTCGTCAATGCGAGGTTAACATGGAGGAGGTCATGTGAACAGGACATGAAAGCATGTAGGCAGACCTGGAGACAGGTGAAAACGCAGTCAGAGAACCGAACACGATGCAGAGGTGAGGCTGAAGCCGTATGTTCCTACAGGAATTAAAGGAAATAATCATAATAAATGTACACCCTATCTTCAAATCACCATTTGCACAGATCTTCCACGTTGCGATACTTTTGGCCTTAATACTGTGTTTCTTTGTGTTCTTTTCACGTCTCCCATGTATCTCCGCGAAGCTGTATCATTTGCTTCCTCTGACATCAAATCTATCTCCCTGCTATTTGATATTTTTATGTCGATAAACGTCTTTTTACATACTACTGCGAATCGTATTTGCACACACTAAGTCTGCTGTGATTGGTTGCTGAGTTCCTCAAGGTTAGGCTTTGTTCCTGTTTTTTTTTCTCATGACACCGATTCGGGACGTAAAAACACAGACGTAAATTGTTGTCCACAATTTTTGGCTAGCAGACAACTCTCACCACACACACACACACACACACTACCACAGAAAAACAGTAACACAATAAGATTTGATAAGGAAGTAGGATTTTTTATTCGGGAAAGGCAAATGAAGTCACTTTACAAAAGTATACCTAGAAAGAATAAGATTTACACAAGTGTAATCATCACATAAGAACAAGATTGATATTATGAACCAGTGTTGAAATTAGTTAACACAGAGAGGAGTTGATACTCATATGATGATCAGTCGAAAAGATAAACAAGTGTAAATAGAAATATTGATAAATATACATACAAAAGTCAGCAAATAAGATTAGAAATATAAAGCTAACTAGCTACTTTTTTAACTGAAAAAAACAAAAATAATAATAAACAGAATTCAAAAAGAAACAGTGTAGTGTATGAAGAAAAAGAACACTACGCGTGAAATGATTTTTGAAATGTGATCACCCAAAAATATGTCTAAATGGCGAAAAATTGTGTATATTTCCTTCTCCCCCCTCTCCGACTACTACTTTCTGAAAGATCTGTCAATACAAGGAAGCATCGTGACGACACGAAGTCATTCCTATTGGATAAAGAAAATAGCCTCAAGAAGTCAAACAAATAAAAAAAAGAAGGAGAAAAGGTCAAAAAGACACAAGTGTAAAACACTTTTTAATTGGTCAAAAATTCTTGTAACAAAGTTAACCGATGCTTTTCACAGATATCCATTTTATTTTGTAAATCTGCTCGATCTGTTATCTCAGCATGTTCTATTTTCCAGGAGAGATCTTCTACTTCAGCTTCTAATAAGGCTTGTTGATACTCGAATAATTCTTTACGTTCTAATTTTTCACCATAAAAAGCATGAGGATAAGTGTATTTTAAAGTGTATCGACAGTTTCTAAGGGTATCGGCAGCCAGTAGTAAATACTGCCAATCAATCCATGTCCCTTCTTTTTTGAGTACTTTTTCATTGATTCTAGCTTGAATACGTGCTCGGTGATCATGTTCTAATCTCAGACTGCGTTCATGATTTTCCCACTAGAAATGGTAAACAGATTAGTTAGTACTAGAAACTGTAGATAAATATACAAAGCAATAAGTTAATTAATCATAATATTATTTAATGAAGTCACTGACCACTAGTCGATATTCCTTGAATACCAGGATCAGCTTCCGAATTGCTGCTGTGATCTAACAGAAATAAATGTTTGGAGATTCTCGGGAATATGATAAACTATCGATTGTGGAAATATTAATACAATATTCACTCACTTCCCTGATAACCACTAACCGACATTTGAAAGCTTTGAACAACTACTTGTGTTATTATTTTTTTATTATTTTCATTTCCCGTAGTTGTGAACGCTACCCACCTGTCTTCCATGTTGACCACGGATTGAGACAAGTTAGAGAACCACTTTGGAAACAAGGGAGTATTGGAAAGCTGCTTTAAATCCTAGTTTGGGACTTATAGGCAGTACACACCCACCGGAGTTCGAACCAACGACCTTCCGGTTACAAAACAAGCTCGTAGACTGTTCATCCAGTGGGACCCAATCCAAGGGCTATATATATATATATATATATATAGGTATATAGCGAATCAGCGGAAGTTGGAATTCATGGGCCATTGATTCGAGTCCTAGTGGTTGAATGGTCTACGAGCTTGCTTTGTAACCGGAAGGTCGTTAGTTCGAACTCAGGTGGATGCGTACTGCCTATGAGTCTCAAACTAGGAAACAAATCGAATCTCTACAGACTACCTGTTGAAAAACACCTACCTGTCTATAGATTTAAACTGTGTTAACTTGAAAACGAAATCTATATGGTTTGTATCCTGTGCCAAGTCTGTCTGTCTGTTTTCGACATAGAACTTTGCACATATGTGTGGCAGTTCAAGTCGCCACACTCCCTTCTTGTAGCACACAAAGCAAGAGAAGAAAGTAGGAGAAATGCATATTAGAGACAGTAAACAGAGGTGTGAGACAAAGGAATAGTAATAACGAAAAACAAAACAGTTTCATTGGAAATCATGAGTCACAAGGAGTGGATGCATCTGCGCCACTGAGAACGATTTTGAGCCATGTCACCAATTGTTTCCAACCATTGGTTTTTACCGTCCCGAGGACCACAACCAGGAAGTCTACACCTTCCTACATGGCTTAGACTAACTGTTGTAGATTTCATTGACTGGTACCATGTTTTTGTTTGACCACCGCTAGCTCTTTTCCAGCCTGACCCTATGTCAGCTAACATTGCCCGTCGAGGAAGGCTATGACTAGGCATACGTAACACATGTCCCAACCATCTCAGTCGATGTAATTTCACAGTCTCATCGACTGATTTTCCCTCCTTACCTAGCACTCGACCGATGACTAACCTCAATATTGCTCACCCTATTATACCACTTCACACGGGAGATAGATTGCAAGCACCTACGATCAAAGACAGCTAGCCTTTTCATATCTTCCACTCTCAATTGCCAGTCTCACAGCCATAAAGGAGGACGGAGCGGACTGATGAGCAGTACACACGCCCTTTGGTCGATAGCCAGCCGGATATCACGTCTACGCCAGAGACGGCGTAAACTGGCATATTCGCCAAGCTCATCAGTTTTGTACTCAAACAGGCTAATCTTAGCTAGTCATATCAACCAGTAGTATGTACCACTAAAGAATTTTGCTTGAATTCTAGATTATCAATTAAAGTGTATACATAAATCGACGGGAAAGTCTAAAATTCAATTATATTAATATGACCCGTTGCAAAACAGGTGGCTGTCATGGCCCAAGTGGATAACGCTTTGGCGTTTGAAACAATGGGCACTAGGTTCGAGCCTCGGTGGCAACATCACTCACTGAGAAATGCAAGTGGATCCAGATGGCAAACGAGTCCCAAATAGGACGAAATGCGCATCCTGGATTCCACTTCTAGTCACCATCCACCAATTAAATTCTAATTAAATGCCCAGACATCGTCGAAGCATCTGCACAAGAAGCCGACATGTCAACCTGAGACCGAGCACTTTGGTCCAATCAATCGACGGAAAAATCTAAAATTCAATTAAAGTATATAGTAGATCACATATTACAATCTGAACATTTCTAGTTTCCAAAAGGAACTGTGACGAATTCTCCCCCCCACCCTTGAAGTGTGTAGTTTGCCAATGATGAATTTTAAGAAGAGTGTTCGTATTGGAAACATGATATAAGAACTCTTTCAAATAGACATACTCGAAGCCCATTGGACAATACCTATGTCTATTTGTAAAGATGGTGACATTAGTCCATATCAAACGTGTTACTTGACAGTAGTGCAACTGCTTTTATCATACAGTATCGAAATGCGTTGCTTACGTTATTTTATTTCTTTTTATTTTGATTACAGCTTGATGCCACACCGTATTTTCAGTACAAGTATGGAATTTTCAGTATGGATATCGGTAGCCCAAATTTGCAGGCCAACCATAGATATCGGGTGTGCGTCGGCAGGGGATCGAACCTCGGACCATGTGCATGGTCGGCGAGAGTCCTAACCACTATGCCACCGACGCACAATCAAAATGTACTGAAGACTTTTCAACTCATGAATTAGAATACTTTCTATAAAACTATCAATCTTATTCATTAAAGTGATGCTTTAGTCTTTGCCAGGAATGTTGGAGGTCAAATTATACATAAGGAAATCATGGTTTAAAAAGTGTGTGTGTGTGTGTGTGTGTGTAAAATTTGTACGCAAAAACAATGCCAGTTGTTAATCATAGGAAAGTGTTTTTTATATATAGTGGGAAGTTGAAACCACTGATATAAAGATGTTTATTTAATAACAAGTATACATTATTATTTATTTATTTAAGCGCAGGAAAAAACTTGGTACAATATGTCACCAAGAAAGATGCGCCACACAATAATAATAAAACAACATAGATCAAAAGTAAAAAATATAAGTAGAAAACGGATAAAGAACTTCATCTGGAAGGAAAAGTTAAACTTAACAAGTTCAAACAGTATTCGTTAACTATCATCAGGAAGGAAAGAAAGAAGGAAATTGCAACACGCTCGCCATTGATTACGATTCTTGGCCATATCCGATAACGTTTCGAGCCATCGATTCGAGCTATCTCGCGGACCCAAACCAGGGAGTCCTGACGCACCAACCGATGCTAATCTAGCACAAATATCCTTCATCCCACGACGCCACGTCATGGACTGACCAACCCTCCGCTTTTTCCATCCCGTCCCAGGGCTAACGGAAACCTCTGGGATGACATTCGCAGCATATGTTCAAGCCACCGGAGCTGGTGTTTCCAGATGACGACACTCAATGAATGGTGATCTCCACTGTGTTCAAACACACGCCACCGAACCTCAGAATTACTCACGCGATGATGCCATCGAACGCAAGCAATCCTGCGGAGACAGCGATGATCGAACACGCAGAGTCGCCGCACATCCTCAGCTCGGAGAGGCCAGGTTTCACAGGCGTAGAGCAAGACAGCTCGCACCGAAGCATTGTATACCCGACCTTTGACAGTCAGGCTAACGTCGCGACGGCGCTAGAGGTGGCACAAGTTGATGTATGCCACCCTAGCCTTCATTATACGGTTGGAAATCTCATCCGTCACCTCTCCGCCAGCACTCACACAACTACCCAGGTACACAAACTTATCAACAACTTCAAGCGGTTCACCCGCAAGAGTGAGTGCAGGTCAGGCTCCTGCCAATCTTGTAACAGTACTTTGCACTTAGACGGTCGGTGCAAAGCACATACCATACTTACAGACACTGATCGCCAACTGATTAAGTGCGATTTGGGCAGCATGCATGCTATCGCACAGTAAGACGATATCGTCTGCATACTCGAGGTCGAAAAGTCTATCTCCAGGTAGCAGATCTACACCACCTTCACGCACATCCTTCAGAGCTAACTCCAGAATGTCATCGATGGCAAAGTTAAAGAGAAATGGAGAGATTGGGCAACCCTGTTTAACCCCACTGTTGGTTAGGAACAGTGATGATAGTTGATTGTATGCCCTCACTCTACATGAGGTGTTTCTCTATAGGGCTTTCAAGATGTTAACAAATTTCAACAACTAGTATACATTACCTATTATAAAATGTGCGAAGTTAGGGAAAACTTGATTGGTTTCACTGACTTAATGCTAATGGGCTCAGTGAAAGCCAATAGTTTACAACCATAAAGTTGCATGGAATCGGTGGTGGGCGCTGCTTAATAATTCCGGATTAGATGGAAACAGATATCCACTAGCATATGCCAACTTACGCAATCTCTGGCTTAGTAGACGTGACATCCGGCTATCGACCAAAGGGCGTGTGTACTGTTCAGCAGTCCGCTCCGTCCTCCTTTATGGCCGGCTGTAAGACATGGCCGTTGAAAGTGGAAGATACGAGAAGGCTAGCTGTCTTTGATCATAGATGCCTGCGTTCTATCTCCCGTATTAAGTGGTTAAGGTTAGGCATCGGTCGAGTGCTAGGTAAGGAGGGAAAATCAATCCACGAGGTTGTGAAGTTACATCGATTGAGATGGTTAGCACATGTGTTACGCATGTCTAGCTATCCACCGCCTTCCTCGACGGGTAGCGTTAGCTGACGTTGGAAAAGAACTAGTGGTGGTCAAACCGAAACACGGCTTCATTAATCAATGAAATCCACAACAGTTAGTTTAAGCCAAGTTGGGAGATGTAGACTTCCTGGTTGGGGTCCTCAGGATGGTAAAAACCAACGGCTAGAGACAAGTGGTGATATAGGTGGAAATAGTTCTCAATGACTGGCGCATTAACTATTTGTGATTTATAATATCCGATAAAATTCTATTGTTCTTCAATATTACTATTCTTTTTGGCCTCATATTTCTGTTTATTATCTCTCTTCTCTCGCTTTATGTGCTACATGGAGGGAGAGTGGCAACTCTAACTGCTGTAATGAAACCAGTCAGCCGGATATCGATTGATTTCCAGTGACCGAGAATACGAAACCTCCGACTTGTGTTAGCAAACAGACGGAGAAAAAAGTAGAGTTTTACATGACAAAGTACCAAAGTTTAAAGTATGCATATACAAAATACTTACAAAAGTCTTTTATACAAGTTCGATAAGACAGATAAAACAACCAGTAAGAATTACAGAACACTGAATAGACAAATATATACATAATATCTATATATTGCGAAATGACTTACTCGTTCATAATAAAACATGTATCGCTCCAATGATTCACGAGCTCGTGTTCTCACAGACTCTTTCGCAGCATCTGGATTCTCTTGGTATTTGCTACAGAAGTAATACTCTGCATCGTGCGATTTCCAAACTTTTATAAAAGACAGAGGGAAAAAAAGCAAACACAATTTACTTTTGTCAAAAAAAATGCTGAAAGTTAGGAAATATAATAGACTGGCATTTTCTGTGACCGCCTTAACTTATATGAAGAGATAGAAAAAAAATGTTCCTCGCTGACGATCACCTTTTCAAAAGAATAAATTCGTTTTGTTTTGAAAAAATGTAAGATGACCTACTACTACCATTCATTCTGTTCAATATGTTAATGTTACACAGTGAGAGTGTGCGTCGGTGGCACAGCGGTTAGGACGCTTGCTTGAAGCCCTATGTTCCACTGGGAACGTGAAGGAAAAAAATACAGTGAGACATAAAAGAAGATCTTTTAGGACTGTTCAACTATAAAGTGTAATTGATTATTAAGTACGCCGTAGAATAGTTGAACTTTGTCAGATAGACAGGCAGACAGACAAACAGTCTAGACGTCTGAGAAACGCATTCGCAAGCCAGGGCCTCCAATTTAATACAGTATAATAACTTTATTTTTTCTTACAAACTGTGTTATCTTAGAAGCACGCGATAAGACACACACACACAAAAAAACAGTAAAATAAATCACTGATTAGTTATCAGTATCTAACGAAATTAATTGAAAAAAATGGTAAGTTGAAAATATGAAATAGATAGTTGATACATAGTAGAAATTATGATTTAGTCCACTCACATCATCAGTCGGTTTTAAGACCACAGGATTAACAACATGGATCACATTTCCAAGTATTGATAAGAATCCTACCAACTTAAGAGTGTTCACAAACCGAATAGGACAAACAAAATCTATTCTCAGCGCTATTCTGTCTCATCTTGTGGATACATAACACAAGATTGACGTTAATCATGCTATCAGGATCATTTACCGCATACCTGCGAATCTCAATTTTGCCTTGAGAGTTTGACTAATAAATATTGCTGAGGCTGGTTTTGGGATCCATATTAACAAGCCTAATTTGTGCATCCAAAAGAAGTTAGTTCAGACATTATCATTACCTTGGCCATCCAGGTTTGAATAATCCAGAATTTTTGTGAAATTTTCCTAATTTTAGTTGATAATCTATTTGCCATTATATTTTTATTATTATAATTTAAGCATCTTTAATGAACTGTAATAGCATTGATCATACTTTACAAATCGATATAATTTAAAAAACGCCAATATTGTTATTAACTACTAATTTAAAATATTCTGTGTGTGTAAACATATATATAATTGTAGAGCCTGGAAGAGGAATTTATAGAAAAGAATATTCTTTGCTCGATTAATTTGTGTTTTATAGATGTCTGAACGAATATGAATAATTGGGATCACTGAGTCACATTTTATAGCGAGCGACCTAAACAGCAGAATATATATATATATATTATATGTATATATATATCGGTATGCTACACTATACAATTCAGCAAACAAATTTCATCACGAACTGACAGCAGGATGAACTTCCTGGAGTATTAATAAGAAAACATGACAAATGGAATTCATCAGATCGAGCTTGCGACATTAGATGGTGGCAGTACAAAATTGCCAGATGATCAAATATATGATTCAAAAGCGTTGGATTCCAATCTATCGACTGAATGGCAATGCACACTTCTCGTAATCTGACAGGTTATGGGGTTCGATTTCTTGTGGAGTGATGGGTGCTTACTGACGGTGAGTTCCAAAACAAGATGCAACAGCTGTTTATTAACCCTCAATTTTCAATAGTTGTCCAACTAATTACTGTCATAAGACTTGAAGGTCAACATAACCACTCTACGGTTTATTAAGAGCACTAGTATAATTCTAAAAATATGGATAAGTCTTCAAATTTTCTACAGGGTTGTAAGTTTCACAATTCATCAACAACTTCGTAGTAAACGGAACCTGCTAATGTACTTAAGATAAAATTACACAGTGCAAGCCAATGCTAGAAAATCTATTGATCGACACCTGTCTTAACATGTGCCTGAAATCAAATGAAATAGTATACACCCTAATGTAACCAAAATTATTAAAATCGCTGAAGAAAAAAAGATCCAGCCTTTTTTAAATTATTAGAAACAAAATAAAAGGACAAACAGAACAATAAAACTGTTGTCACACTTCATATCAGCGGAAGGCAACGGACGGTTACTTGATATTCTAAAGTATGGACTGTATTTCCAAAGAGGCGAGATTTCAGAATTCACAGTCAGTTCCTTTTATATATCTCTGGTAAGATTATTCTTGAAAGTACCCACATGATGTTTCTCACAACTTGTTTGCAAGGCAGTTATGTAAACAGTTAAGTTGACAAAAGCTGTTACCCGTTGGTTATGGTGTCATACTGGATCGTATATCCAGACTGTTGACGATACACTGAACACGCTTCAACTGTCTTATTGAGACCTAAAAAAGGTTCCAGTGTGATCGTTTGAAAAAAATCAAGACTATGTCTTGAAAATGCTCAGCTTATTAATCGACAACATACACTTATCTGCTGAGAAAAACTGAATAATAAAAAGAGGATCTCTCAAGTCCTCAACCAAGTCTAAACGATAAGAATCTCTGTGAGATCTTATCCACGACGAATGTACGACCTTCTAAAATTACACAAAACTGGAACTCCCTTATACACCCTATATATTGGCCATGTCGAACTCTCCACACCATGAACTAACCAAATGGCTTGCAAAATTGATTGAACGAACCTGCAAGAGAAACACTCGCTAACTACACTCTAAAAGATGGCTTGGTATTTGTTAATAAGATTCAGAATATCAATATAATGAAAGGGATATATTGTTGCTTCTGTGATATTGAATCTTTATTTACGAATATGCCATCGGAAGGGACAATCGACATATCATATGTAATCATACTGACATAATAAGCTTTCCAGGTAATTAAAACTGAGGGATTCATTATTGTTATGCACACCAAAAACACTGTGCAGTTTCAATTTAATGGTTCGTAGTATTACAGAGAGACAGAAGAGGGAGGATGGCTGGCTATAGGAAGTCCCCACGGTCCAATATTTGCTAACATATTTCTATTTCATTTAAAAAAGAATACCAAACTGTATGATGCGATAAAGAAGATGAAAGTGCATTTAAGATATGTGAATGATACGTTTATTATACAAGAAAGTGAAAAACAAGCAAAGAATCTACTCAAGTTTGCTTTTTTTAAAATTTAGTTCATCCAGATATAATATTCACTTATGAAATAAGTTTTTTAAACTAGAGGCTTAAAATCACATGGGATTTATCGTAAGCCTACTTTGTTTTCACTAGCAACGGAACTATGTGCCAGAGAGCTGATCGACGATGAATTGAGGGGGGGGGGGGAATCCGTAAAATATTGATCGACAATGGATATCCCACTAAGTTTGTTAATTAAATATTCATGAAAAATTCCCATTCGAACATTAATAGACAGAAGACCAGTAGTTCAGCGAAGAGTCTCTTTTCGGCGAATTTATTTTCATAGCTGTACAATCGCAAATATATATGGTTGTTTTGAATGCGTGTGTACATTAAATTTTTGCCAAAGGAAAATACAATTAGTACGATCAGATGGATTGGATGTTGATATAAGAGGGTAGTAACAAAAGTGATGAGTTGTCACAAACGATTGTTAAAGAAGAGTCACGTAATAATGTGAATAGTTTGATGAAAGAGTTGTGCTCAGGGTGCACATGGAAACAAAATAACATACGGAATTACGCAAGGGTTTTAAGTAGTTAGAAAAATAATCATACAAACAAGAGTTAAGTCAAATCAAGCAAAACAAACAAAAGTTAAGTCAAATCAACACAGTTGTTACCATGAGAGTAGAAGTGGTTGAATAATTTTCTTTTGTATGCATAGTTCTGGTTCTTCCAACTGAATGGCTAGGGCTTCTGCAATGCAAAGAAGACGGAAACGTATTGTCTTTAACAGGTTGTTCTTCACTTTGTAGATTACTTTGAAGGAGGTGTTTGTTGAGATGGAATGACCAGTGTTGACGAGATGTTCGATTATTGCACTCCTTATACGGCCACTACTTCCTTTCTGCAGCCACGCTGGATAGTGTTCTTTGACCCTTTTTGACAGGATGCGCGTTGAACGACCGATGTACCTGGCTCCATAGCAACAGGTGGACTGATATATACACATAGAAGTGGTCAAGTGCGGGATCTTGTCCTTTGGGCTTCTGCAGATCAGCGGACGACTGGAGAACACTACTCTCAATGTTGCCGCAAAGAAAGTTCTTCTTAAAGAAGTGGAAATTCTCCTCCTAAGGACATCACTGAGTAGGTCACCTTTGAAGTCGAGGTTCATATAAAGTATCCTTTTTGGCACGGATGGCGTCTCTTGCTTTTGGATTTTCTGTTTGATGTTTTTGTCTACGAATCTTGATGGATGACTGTTTTGTATGAAGATTCCTTTCAGGAAGTATAGTTCTTCTTCCAGGGTATCAGAGCTGCAGATGCGTCGGACGCGAGTGGCAAGAGATTTTATTAGGTTTCTTTTTTGACTGATTGGTACCCAGCTGTAAAAGCTTGTCAGGTGGCCGTTCCATATGGGTTTCCTATGGATGGACCTTTTTAAAGTTCCGTCAGCTCTCCTTGTAAGTTCAACATCAAGAAAAGGGATTTTAGATTCCTTTTCAATTTCAAGAATGAACTTTGTAGCTGAATGGCATTTGTTGAATATTTGTAGTACAGCTATGAAAATAAAAATTCGCCAAAAAGAGACTCTTCGCTGAACTACTGGTCTTCTGTCAATTAAATATTCCAAACAGAATACTGAAAGTTTGCTTGAAACAACTATATCAATCAGAAGTGTATTCATTATGTTAACTTTTTGTTCAAAGGCAACGAAATGAATTTGTAAAATAATCATCAACTGAGTGCATGTATCGTCCTAAAGTATCCTACTACGAAATTAGTCTACAACACAAAGAACATACTCAGGGAAACAAATCTGGTTGTGTGAGAACCCCTCGTGTTACCTTCAATTGCATGTATATTCATTTACTTCTACTTTGGAATAGGACGAACTGTGAGGATCCTTACAAAATGAATTTCTGAACATGTACCAGAAGGGTAGTGTTACTGGATGTGCAAGACTATCATCTAGCAATGGTATTGGTAGACAAATCCTTCCTCCGGGTCAGAACATTTATCCCAACACAGCCCTTCAGGTGGAATTCTAAATTATGCGTACAAAAGGATTTTTTGTGGTCCAACTCGCATTGCCTTGGTAATGTGTTGTTTATTTACTATTTCACTATTTGCTTTATCTTATAACCGTCCTTAAACATTATTCATCTTCCTAACACTTCGCTATCCATTATATTTACGAAATAGCAATACTGTCACTTAATCTACCTTTCACAGTTTTATCAGGATTTCAATCCCTATTATAAAGTAAATCTATTTGATTAGCTTTTTCAGGGTAATTTATTATTTTCAAAAGAATGGATACTGAACAAAGAGTACTCTTTTCGATTACTTCATCATCAGGCTCTACAGTTATATATACGTTATAGGGAATGAATGAATTAGTTATATGAACAACATTAATGTTGTTTAAATAACATCGAACCAATAATATTGATAGATTACAGCTGAATAGCAGCAACACAGAGAACATACAGAAAACAGAGGTGATGAAGATTCCTGGCCAACAGCAACAAAAACAGACAACAATCAGCATAAATGGGAGGAACACGAAAGAAACAACCTCTTTTACCTACCAGGGAAGCATCGTTTCAACTACAGGCGGAACTGACGAAGATATCAAAGCAAGAATCAGAAAAGCAAGAAAAGCTTTCACTACTCTCAAGTCTGTGTGGAGGTCAACAGCACTCAACATCAAAAATAAGATCCGGATTTTCAATTCCAATGTCAAGTCAGTGCTACTCACTATACGTACGGATCATAGACTTGGCGCGTCATAAAGAGCATCTCAAACAAACTACAGACCTTCATTAATAGTTGTCTTCGCTCAATACCACTCAAGATCAGATGGCCGGCCAGAAAAGATCAGCAACAGGGAGAGATCTCTGGAGCGAACCAACCCAGCAGGAACCGATTGTGAAACAAATAGGCAGGAAGAAATGGAGATGGATTGGCTGGCCATACTCTGAGGAAACCATCAAGTGACATCACTAGACAAGCCATTGCTCGAGTGGAACCCGAAAGGGAAGCGGCGAGTTGGTCGTCAGTGCAAGGGTGACTTGGAGGAGGTCATGTGAAGCGGAGATGAAAACATGTGGGCAGTCCTGGAGCCAGGTGAAGACTCTAGCAGAGAACTGTACGCAATGGAGACGCAGGACTGAAGCCCTATGTTCCTCTAGGAATTAAAGGAAACAATAATAATAATATAATAATAAAATAAGCTGAATGTCAGAAGAATTAGGAAAGATAATATTACAAATTCATGAGTTTATAATCTCTACTGAAGGCCAGGGCAGCAGTAGTGGCTGGACTTGTTTCTTTTGAACACAGTAGAGGCTATTGCAATTCGCCTCAAACAACCAGTGCTCTGTGTTCAAAAGAAGCAAGTCCAGCCCCTACTACTACCCTGACCTTCAATAGAGACTTTAAATTCATGAATTTGTAATATTATCTTTCCGAATGTTTTTTCTGACATTCAGCTTATTTTATTTTGATGCTATTCAGCTGTAATCTGTCAATATTATTATTGATTCGATGTTATTTAAACAACATTAATGTTGTTCATAACATTAATTCATTCATTCACTATAGTGTATATATAACTGTAGAGCCTGATGATGAAGTAATCGAAAAGAGTATTCTTTGTTCAGTATTCAATTCTTTTGAAAATTTTTTATTTATTTATTATTATTTACAGTAAATAATACTGTATAACACTGTGAGAATTTATCAAATAAATTTACTCCATAATGAAATCATACCCTATCACAGTGTCCAAGTTCTATTATTATATCAAGGATACCCTATCATAGCATACACGTCATATGTTAACTGCCCTGTGCCACCACCTTGACTGAATCTTAATAACACACTTTGTCAGTATGAGCATGATTTATTTTGTTTTCTCTAGGATAGATAGAATTGACAGTGTGACAGTGTCATCTTTACAAGCAATTGTATTTTTGTCTGTAATGTGTAGTAGTCAGATCATGAACTGTCAATTTTGTTGGTTTTTTTAATGTTCTGTTTTCCAGATGTGAAAATATACCCATGCTGTTTTTTTGATTGCACACTAGTCAGTAACTAGTGCAATGCGTCTAGTCCTATCTTCACTGCAGACTGAATTCTATCAGTCCAGCTTGCAATGTGGCTCGCCATAAACTGATAGAATTCAGTCTGCAGCGAAGATAGGATTAGACGCATTACACTAGTTACTGACTAGTGTGCAATCAAAAATATCCAAAACAGTCTTACAGGAGGTCAATCGCGAGCCTGAATAGCTCAGTGGTAACGTCTCTGACTGCAGCACTGGGTGACGCGGGTTCGAATCTCAGAAGGGACATGAGTTCCCTCAAGGTTGCAGATACGCCTTGCTGATGAGTGAAAAATAGCACGAAACCTAGGTCCAAGGCTTCCTGTGGCCGACTGCCTCCAACCACCTAATACCCATGCTGTGTTGGCGAATGGTGGTATCATTGAACAGTATCAAATTATTTGTATTTGACAATGACATTTTAAATTACTAAACTGCACATAAATTTTGCAATTTATTGCATTTTTCGGAAGATTAAGAGTACACGAAATAAAAGTGAAGTAGTCGATTCATCCCACCATGTTGATTTTTCTTGTTTTACAAAAGGAGAGAGAGAGTCCTATGGAGTACGATGTGAATTGAAAGTTTCTAGAGAGATGAGATACAGGTGAATGAAATACTGCCGACATTTTGTGCGCAACTCTTCTAACATATACACTCCAGTCATATCATGATATTTTTTAAGAAAACACACACACTGGACACTGAATTCCAACTGACTGACTGACTGACTAAATGGTAACTCAGTCATTGTCTGTGTGTCTGGATTCAACGTAGAACTCAGCACCGAAGTGCAGCAGTTCGACTTGCCACGTTCCAAATAGCACACAAAGGTAGACAAGAAAATGAGTGATGAAGAGAATCAATAGAGTTTTGACAAGTACAAGAGTGAAACAGAATGAGTAATGGTAGAAAGGAATATGAGATCGAATATTACAGAGACTGAATACATCTGCGTAAGCCATTGACAACGATTTTGAGCCATGTCACCTATTGTCTCCAACCATTGATTCTTAGAGTCCCGAGGGCGGGCCCCAACCCGGAAGTCTGCATCTCCCTACCTGACTCAGTTTAACTGTCAGGGATTTCATGGATTGATGAGGCCATGTTTTTGTTTGGCCACCACTTACTCTTTTCCAACCTGCACCTATATCAGCTAGTAATGCCCGTCCGTCGGGGGAGGCGATGGTTAGGCATGCGCAGCACGTGAGTCATTGTGAGGTCTGGTAGTTCTGAAGTTGACTTGCAGGTGTATGTGGATGAACAATACTGATAATTCATAAACTAGATGATTAGCTGCCTACTGTCCACTGATTTCCCACAGCCCTTTTTAATGAATGTCGACTAGTAATGATATTTTAACACTAAGTTTATTTATGTCTACTGGGACGTTCACGGCCCGACTCAAAACACGAATGTATCACATTAAAATAGTAGACGGTTGGTCATAAAATATTAGAAAATTCTAACCATAAAAAAGGATTTACTTACCACCTAAGCACACCCAGCAAAATTCATAATGGCAAATTGAGCATTTCTAATCAATATAAAACGAAGACAGAAAACAATTTAAGAAGCATACCGAAAAAAAAGTAAGTTTTTAATTACTCTCAAAAAATATTCAATGACAGAAACGTGTTAACGACAAAGTGCATTCAGAGCACATGAATAGTCCTACTAGAGCTTTACACAATTATATCTCGGAAATGATCCTAGTTCTCTATTTGTGAGTAGCATCGTTATGTTTTAGGGGTACCTTTATGATATCGCATTTTTCCTTCCTTTGCGTTGCGAGTAGAACACACAGAGCTTCAAGCTCTAAGCTTTGAAGTTTCAGGAGCGTTTGAATTGTCTTTACAACATGGGGTTGATAGCCTCACACCCAACTCTCCTTCTTTTCCTGGCATACAACCGGCTAGATAAGAACCACCGACGCACCAAAGCTTCATCCACTAGGCCACTTGAGCCACCATTATGAGTAGTATTGTGGTGAGAGCTGTCGATTGATTATCCCCTCCTTCCCTAGAACTCGACGCCTAACCTCAATATTGCTCACCCTATTATACTACCACCTAACACGGGAGATAGAACGCAGACACCTATGATCAAAGACAGCTAATCTTTTCATGTCTTCCACTCTCAACGGCCAGGTCTCACAGCCGGCCATAAAGGAAGACGGAGTGGACTGATGAGCAGTACACACGCCCTTTGGTCGATAGCCAGCCGGATATCACGTCTACGCCAGAGACGGCGTAAACTGGCATATGCGAAACTAGCCCTCTGTATCCGTACTGAGACTTCGTCAGAGATCAACCCGTTGGGGCTGATGCAACTTCCCAAATAAGTGAAGCGGTCAACGTGCCCTACCACTTCACTTCCTATTTCTAATCTAGGAGTCGGTGTAGTCCAGTCCTGTAGCATCATCTTACATTTGGCAGGAGCGAATCGCATGCCAAACATTCGTAGATTGCAGCTCAAGGTGTTCAGAAGACTCTGCATTTTGTCAGTGTCCTCGCCTAGAGGGACTACAAGTACTTTTATATTACCAGGTACATTTAACCTTAATTTCAGTGAATCCCTCTCTGATGTAAAAACATCCTTGGAAGATATACTAACATTATCTGCTCGGACGACCTAACAAATAAAAAATTGCATCAAACTTGATACAGGATATGCAAAGTGGCGTAGTTGATTTAATCTCAGATAATATAACAGTTTCCTGATGGATACAAAGCTAAAGTCCTATTGAGTATTTTACATTAAGTAAAATTCTTTCGTAAAATGATAACATTTTCGTAATATGTATATATATATATATATATATATATATATATATAATCTAAGTGAAACAAACTGGTTCACTAAAAAAATTATAGTTAACAAGATACAAGAACGTGGAAATGAAATGTGGGTGGAGATACCTTAGAAAAACGTCAAACACCCAGATAGACGAAATCTCTTTTAATGGTGTGTTTGCTTTTGGTAAGCTTCAATCAATTGTGAAAAACTGCATAAAAAGATTAGATGTATGTATCACACAGTGAAACAGTATCAGTATTTACTGGATGACAAAATTTATTGTTCATAATCATTTCATCAATTATAATCACACGACTTCGAAACTTGAGTTTTACAATTTTCTTTGTTCTCTCCTATTTGTCGTAGGGGTAGTAGAATTTTCCAGATATCTGGGACAGATGTTGAATCATTCCTAACACATGTATTTACAGTTGATTCGATAAACAAAGCTTCAGTTATCAACCTCTCCCTCCATCCTGTTATATTAGATTTTAGAACTGTCATCTTATTCCACCCAATTTTATCTTAATGTGCAAATGCATGTAGTGAGTGCTATAGCTGAACTATTCTCTAGATTTCTTATCTTATTCGGGTCAACCAATCTAGATTTTGCTAGGTATTTATGCTCGGCTAGTCTGACTGCCCCTGTTCTACTACTTTGACCTGTGTATTTGACCTGACAATCCTCTCAGGCAGGGTATTAGATAAATTAAATTGTTTTGTTTTTTTGGCTCCACCGTCAGGATCCTTTAACCGACAAAGTTTGCTTCTAATTGAGTTTGTGGGTGGTTTGAATGCCAGCCACTTTTATTCCTGCCTTGTTAAGAATTCTGCATAAGGTTTCCGAGGTTCCTTCCTTGTATGGAATTACTACTGATGATTTAGATCGAAGTCGTGTGATTATAATTGATTGGTATGATTATGAACAGTAGTAAATTTTGTTCGAAACCTTGTCATCCAATAAATAATACTGTTTCACTGACTGTGTGATACATCCAATAAATAAATTAATGTGGAATTGCATAAAAAGATCCTTGATTTGTTACCGGCATTTATTATTTCAGACATTTGAGTAGTAGACAACAATGTTATTAAACCTACGCTATCACGATGCAACATTCCATCGCGTGAATAAGAAATAAACGACAGAAAATTTAAACATGTAGAAATTATATTTGTATAAGTTTCAGTAACATCTGAAAGCACTAATAATAATAATAATTCCAACGTTACATTTGGCAAACTGGTCCCACCTTCTTCAAGGAAAATAATCAACCAGACAAGTTTGTTGAAGGAAGTGTTGGAAGCATTAGTGATTTCAATTTCACTGTGATGCATACAAATACAGTCTCTACACAGGTCTACTTTTCGCTATAGAAGTATTCGGTCAAACATTGCTATTTAACTGTACATTTCGTTATGATATGATATCAGTTAGAAAATCATTAAAAGCCAGTTGGCAAGTCAACCCAAACTGCAATTAATCAAATGCCTATAAAACTAAGATCTGACGATTAATGTTGACTACACAAAAAAGCCTTCTCAAAATTTTTAAAATCTTTTTCGTGCTCGAGAACATATCCCACTATGGCTAAGTAAAGGTGTAGTTGAAACTATTAACAGCTCGATATTAGACCATCTGGTGCAAACCGGTCACAAAGCCAGTATAGAAGAATCCTTCTCTATAATATACCGGGTGCCTAACAAATTGCCAAAATCATCGAAGCACCGCATGCTCCAAACAGCAGAGGCTATTGCAATTCACGTAAAACAACCAGTGCTCTGTGTTCAAAAGAAACAAGTCCAGCCCCTACTACTGCCCTGTTCGTCCTTCAGTAGGGACTATAAACTCATGAATTTGTAATATTACCTTTCCTAATTCTTCTGACATTCAGCTAATTTTATTTTGATGCTACTGAGCTGTAATCTGTCAATATTATTATTGATTCGATGTTATTTAAACAACATTGAAGTTGTTCATTACACTAATTCATTCATTCACCATAATGTATATATAATTGTAGAGCCTGATGATGAATTCATTGAAAAGAGTACTCTTTGATATTAGATGGTTGGAGGCAATCGGCAGGAAGCCTTGGACCTAGGTTTCGTGCTAGTTGGCACTCACCAGTCAGCAAGGCGTATCTGCAACCTTGAAGGAACTCATGTCCCTTCTGAGATTCGAACGAAACCTAGGTCCAAGACTTCCTGCCGATTGCCTCCAGCCATCTAATACCAACAATTCACACTGCACCTAGCATGGTGGCCGCATTGCAAGCTTGACTGTTAGAATTCAGTCTGCAGCGAAGATAGGACTAGACACATTACACTAGTTACTGACTAGTGTGCAATCAAAAAGAGTACTCTTTTTCCAGTATCCATTCTTTTGAAAATTTTAATGGGCATTTTTAATCAGATAAAATCTATTCCGCCAAGTTACTTGAAAGCTATACAGAGCACAAGGAATAACGGTCTGCAAGAATATATGATGCTTGGAGTTCATATCTATGCACTGACTGATTGTAAACAGCTTCTATGGATGTTGTTAGAATACACAGCTTTGATTGGTTACTTTCAGAAGTATGATTTTCTCGACAGTGTTATTTATATTCGTTACATAAGCGCATGCTTTATCACTTTTACATTCAATTGATAGAGTTGATATTTTGCTAAGAATTATAATGAACGGAACTTTTTTTCTCACATAGCCACTAATTTAATACCTAGACTATAATTTTAACACTACAAACCCCAAGGGTTTAAAACGTCTTAAAAAAACCAGTGGAAAGCTAATTGTTACTAGGCAAAACTAATGCCTTCAGACATTTGGTTCCCTTCTTGTGTTGCCATGTTGACGGACAAGCTAACACAGTCTATTAGATTCTTCTGTTTTCTCTCTTTTCTCAACCCCCCCCCCCTCTTTTTAATGGTTTGAAAGCATATAAATTGATGGTAACTTAAACTAAATAATTGTAATACTTATATTCTGGATGCGTTCATCTCATAATGTTTTCTTCATTACCTAGCAAACATTGAAGTATGAAATGTCATTATTTATAACCAATGTAATTCCAGGTAGTTTGCAGCTGATGAGAACCTGTGAAATAGAATGATGATGCATCATTTTATACTGCAAATCTGGTCTTTCTTTCTCTATCGAATCCTAGTAACCACCAACATTCATCTTAACAAGTATATTCAAATACATTATAACAGTCATGAGCAGTTATTCTTTTCTTATCAAACTAACCTACTACTCCTGCTATACGAATGTGTTTTTTTTTAATTAACAGAGTAACTTTTACAATGTATTGCCTGAAGCTTGATCACGGATTAATGTTAATTAGAGTATCACAAGGAAACCTCGGAGTAGTGGATAGCTCTTTCGTCGCAGTTTGGGTCTCTTCACCAGAACACACCCTCAACTCCACTACCAGGGATCAGACTCACGACCTTCAGGTTACAAGACCAAGTCTGTTGAACATTCACACACCTGGGCTGGAACCCAATGGCACATGAATTCTAACTTGTGTCAATTCGCGATTTTAGCCCGACCACCGACTGATGTCATCAGCGAGTAATTGTCTTCACATCCGACCTGGTGGACCTTAGAGTGGTCATAACTGCTCACCAGAACTCCAGACATAACTTCATTCCGTGGCCAGTCATTAGCAAGCATCAGAGTAATTGCCAAGAGTCAGTTTGTAGGGGTTTGATTTGTGTCAAGTCTCATCACGGACTGATGTGCACAACGAGCATGGTCTCGTAACCTGGAGGACCTGGTTTCGATCTCTGCCGGTGGGGTTGTGGGTGCGTACTAGAGTCCTAAACTAGGACGAAACACCAGTCCAGTACTCCCTGCTGGTTTTCGATGGTTCTAACTCTAACTGACATCAATCCGTGATCAGACTTGAAATGAATCTAATCCTTATGAACAAACTCTTGACAGTTTATTGTATTTTTTCAACTCGAGTTACCATACCAATGAAACTAATTATGACTGGTGAAACAATGCTCTTAGAAATTCTTTTTCAGAAAGTGAATTTACTAAATTTACATGATATATAAAGAAGAAATGGCAACCAATAACAACTATAAATAAACTAACAGCATATATATATATATATATGACTCATGAGAAATTGATTTTTATCTGCGTCAAATGAATGGCGCATTAAACACCATTTACATAGAGATGATTTCATAATCATACTATATTTGACAACTGTTTCTCTAAGTGTAGGCTTACACGCCTTCAAATGAAATACCTATTCCCATAACAATATGTGATTATATTTTTCAATAAATTTTAAAAAAAATCGATTGAAATTGTAAAAGTTACTTTTTTTTAAAAGTCACTTACCATATGATTACAACCTTCATTTTTTTCTATACACACATGACACGATGGACAGTCCTTAGTGTGTGCTGTCATATAATTTGCCGTTCCTGAATCATCTCGACATTTCACGAGCCAGTGTTTCAGGGTTGCACAGCTAGTTGGAGCATGATATGCTTCTGAGCACATAAAACAGAACTCTGAATGACATCGTTCACATTGGACACGTCGGGCTTTCGGCTCTTCCAATGCACAAATTAGCATAGGACAGTTGAAACCGACACAAAATCGCAATGAAGGATGACTCTAAAAAAAAATGTGTAATAAAAACAGTAGGTCTTTTTAACTCTATGATCAGACAGGTGAATGTGGAACGACTAAAAAAATGTCAAGGATTTGAAGATGCTGTAAATCTCCGCAGCATTCACGAGACGTGACGCGTGCTTCACAAATGTGTCATCAGTAAATTTCCACTCTGTTATTCATGAACAAAATATCGAATTACAAAAGTATATATATATATATAAGACGAAAATTAAAAACTGAAAAAGTTGAAGGGTCAAATTTGTACGTTATTGTGATGGGATTTTTGACTATCACTTTCATTAACCCAAATTTTATCGAGATAGGACGACTGACAAAATATTAACGCTAACCAGTAAACGAACAAACCCAGTTACTATGTCAAGAAGACAAGCATCACACTAGGCATGAAACTAAAGTGAAATTATATAATGGCTTTTCAATAAGCTAAAATATTTCAAGCACGAATTGCAATCCATTCAATTTTTATTTATTTATTTATTTATTTAAACGCATTAGAACTTGGTACAATATGGCACCAAGAAGGATGCGCCACACAATAATAATAAAACAACATAGATGAAAAAAAAGGAAGGAAGGCAGCAAAAGAAAAAAATATATATAAGTAGAGAACGAATAAAGAACTTCATCTGGAAGGAAAACACTCATTCTTAACAGGTTCAAACATTGTCCGTTAACTATCATCGGGAAAGGAAGAAAGAAGGAAATCGCAACACGTTCGCCATTGATTACGATTCTTGGCCATATCCGATAACGTTTCGAGCCATCGATTCGAGCTATCTCGCGGACCCAAACCAGGGAGTCGTGACACACCAACCGATGCTAATCTAGCACAAATATCCTTCATCCCACGACGCCACGTCATGGGCTGACCACCTCTCCGCCTTTTCCATCCCGTCCCAGGGCTAGCGAACAGAGACCTATACGGAAGCCTCTGGGGTGACATTCGCAGCACATGTCCAAGCCACCGGAGCCGGTGTTTCCAGATGACGACATTCAATGAATGGTGATCTCCACTGTGTTCAAACACACGCCGCCGAACCTCAGAATTACTCACGCGATGATGCCATCGAACGCAAGCAATCCTGCGGAGACAGCGATGATCGAACACGCAGAGTCGCTGCACATCCTCAGCTCGGAGAGGCCAGGTTTCACAGGCGTAGAGCAAGACAGCTCGCACCGAAGCATTGTATACCCGACCTTTGACAGCCAGGCTAACGTCGCGACGGCGCCAGAGGTGGCTCAAGTTGATGTATGCCACCCTAGCCTTCATTATACGGTTGGAAATCTCATCCGTCACTCCTCCGCCAGCACTCACACAACTACCCAGGTACACAAACTTATCGACAACTTCAAGCGGTTCACCCGCAAGAGTGAGTGCAGGTACAGGCTCCTGCCAATCTTGTAACAGTACTTTGCACTTAGACGGTCGGTGCAAAGCACATACCATACTTACAGACACTGATCGCCAACTGATTAAGTGCGATTTGGGCAGCATGCATGCTATCGCACAGTAAGACGATATCGTCTGCATACTCGAGGTCGAAAAGTCTATCTCCAGGTAGCAGATCTACACCACCTTCACGCACATCCTTCAGAGCTGACTCCAGAATGTCATCGATGGCAAAGTTAAAGAGAAATGGAGAGATTGGGCAACCCTGTCTAACCCCACTGTTGGTTAGGAACAGTGATGATAGTTGGTTGTATTGCCTCACTCTACCTGAGGTGTTTCTCTATAGGGCTTTCAAGATGTTAACAAATTTCTCAGGTACACCTCTCTCTAACAGACAGTTCCAGAGCACAGTTCTGTCCAACGAATCGAAGGCAGCCCTAATATCAAGAAACACAACGATCGTTGGCCTGCAATACGTGTGGCGGTGTTCCAACAACTGACGAAGGGTGAACACATGATCAATGCATCCACGACCTGAACGCAACGCAGCCTGCTCTTCGCGAATCAGTCTTTCACGTATTTTGCACAGTCTGCGAAGCATGACAGCAGCCAATATTTTAGACGCGACTGGTAGCAGACTGATACCCCTATGATTGTCACACGAATTACGTCGACCCTTTTTAAAGATGGGGACGATGATGGCTTCGTTCCACATTGATGGTACACTCTCAGTTTCCCATACCTTCCTGAACAACCCAGTTAGAGCCATTATGAGAGTCTCGCCACCCTCTTTAAAAAGAGCCGGGGGTAATTTGTCTGGGCCGGGCGCCTTATGGCGTTTTAACACTTGGAGTTCCTTACGGACCTCCGCTTCGGTGGGTGGGTCGGTATTAACCGACCAAGGAGCACTGGGGCTAATGACAGCAGACATTGAAGCTGGTGGCCAGCTGAACTGTTTCCCGAAGTGCTCTGCCCAGCGTTCCAGGCGTCTCTTCAGGCTGGTAGTTGGCGTGCCATCTGCCTCACAGACCGTCTCGCTGACATCTTGTTTCTTGCTGCCGGTGGCTCGTATGAGTTGGAACAGCTTCCGACTGTTGCCAGATGCAGCAGCTGACTCCATCTCATACGCACGTTCTGACCACCAGGCTTCGCGGTCCTTACGTAAACACTGTCTAATCTTGCGCGTGAGCGCCTTTCGCCGATTGTTGTATTCACTGCCAGCCGGAATGGACCGGCGTTCATCCATGAGTTGCAAGGAACTCGCAGAAACCCAGTGGTTGTTAGCGGAGCATTCTTTCAAGCCGCAAGCGGCTACACTCGCCTTTTGCATGGCACCTTGCACATGAAGCCAGTGCTCATCTATACTACTTGGGGGGTTGCTGGCAAGCATTGTTTTGAACTCATTCTGATATTTCAAAGAAGTAGCAGGTGCTACTAGTTTGCTCACATCAACGTTTAGACGACGGTTTTTACGAACCCCACCAAATCGCATGACGAGCTTGGCACACACTAACGCATGATCGGAGTCCAGACATGTGCTCCAGAAGGAGCGACAGTCTTGTATGCATCCTCGCCACCGGAAACTGACCGCAATATGGTCAATCTGAGTCCAAGCTTGGTTCGCAGAGGGAGGACGCCAGGTAGCGCTACGGCGATGGTTGTGCCGGAAGTTGGTGCTGGCTAGAAATAGGTTCTGATCCGCGCAAAGCTGCAGAAGACGGTCCCCATTATCTGACCTGCGACCATGTAGTCCCCACTGACCACCTAGACGACTCTCCTCTGAGCTTAGACGCCCGACCTGTGCATTCAAGTCCCCAGCCAGCACTACGATATCCCTCCGACCCGCCTGTTTCAAGAGATCGCTCAGTTGGTAGTAAAACTCATCCTTCATTGCATCCGGGCTGCAATCCGTTGGTGCATAGGCAGAGACAACAATTAGACACCGCCTATCTGGCCTACTACTCCTTACTTTCGTATATCCTTCCAGCCTCACAGCACATAAACGACTGTTAATGGGAATCCAGTCGAGCAGTGCAGCTTCGGCTATAGCGCTCAGTGCGACGCCGACACCAGTTACGCCGGATGCCGACGCCACAGGGTCCCCAGACAAGTGCACGTGGTACATACTACTAGAACTTCCAGATGGAGAGGATAATCGAAGCACTTCACTGGGATCTTGAATGCGAGTCTCCGAAATGCAGCAGACATCGATAGCGAGGCTTTCCAAAGTTCTTGCCAACCCTGCCTGTTGTCCGATTTGCATCAGCGTCCGAATATTGTAGGTAGCCAGCTTGAACGCAGCACGCGGTTTCAGGATATCTGTGTTAGAAGTCGCATTGGGAACAACCATTTTGAGGACTACTCACTAACATCTCGAAACGACACGGATAGGCTGGGAATCTCGACAAAGGCGAAAGGCTGTCGAAGGTTAAGAAGCCAAGGTTAGCAAAGGTAAAATACAGGAAACTATGTGTAAAAATAAAAGTAAGATAGGAAGGAAGTAAGTTACTTGAGGGATCAATATTGCTTGGAATCATTTTTTACTAGCGCGTGTTGAGTTTCAATGAGAGTTCGTTGCTTCAATTCATTCATTGTGTGCGGGCTGAGATACTGCCCGGGCGCCCAGACCGAAGCAGGTGGTTTTATTAAGGGACCACCCCCCAAGCCTTTGACTTGGAGTCTAATCCGCAAGGCAGCGGAGCAGCGTCAGGAGATGCATTCCCATGGTTGCCGGTGACCCATATGGGTTCATACGCCATTCGATCCAATTGGAAACTGGAGCCCATGTACCCCATGGTAACTGCTTTTAGTCTAACCGCTATCCAAACAACCTTCCTGGCATGGTAGGACCTGCAGGGACATGAGTCCCAGCCAGTTTAGCTTGTTGGGTCACTGCGGCATTCAAGCCCGACCACCACGGCAAGGTAGCAGTTATCGGCCGGGAATCCATTCAATAATATACATGGTTATCTGTCTGTTTCTCTGTTTTCGACATAGAACTTTGCACATATGTGCGGCAGTTCAAGTCCCCACACTCCCTCTTTGTAGCACACAAAGGAAGAGAAGAAAGTAGGAGAAATGCATAATATAGACAGTAAACAGAGGTGTGAGACAAAGGAATAGTAATAACGAAGAACAATATAGTTTCATTGGAAATCATAAATCACAAGGAGTGGATGCATCTGTGCCATTAAGAACGATTTTGAGCCATATCACTAATTGTTTCCAGCCATTGGTTTTTACCGTCCCGAGGACCCCAACCAGGAAGTCTACACCTTCCTACGTGGCTTAGACTAACTGTTGTAGATTTCATTGACTGGTACCATGTTTTCGTTTAACCACCGCTAGCTCTTTTCCAGCCTGACCCTATATCAGCTAACATTACCCGTCGAGGAAGGCGATGACTAGGCATACGTAACACATGTCCTAATTATCTCAGTCGATGTAATTTCACAGCCTCGTCGATTAATTTCCCCTCCTTCCTTAGCACTCGACGCCTAACCTCAATATTGCCCACCCTATTATACCATTTCATACGGGAGATAGAACACAGGCACCTATGATCAAATACAGCTAATCCTTTCATGTCTTCCACTCTCAATGGCCATAAAGGAAGACGGAGCGGACTGATGAGCAGTACACACGCCCTTTGGTCGATAGCCAGCCGGATATCACGTCTATGCCAGAGACAGCGTAAACTGGCATATGCGAAACTAGCCCTCTGTATCCGTACTGAGATTTCGTCAGCAATCAACCCGTTGGGGCTAATGGTACTTCCCAAATAAGTGAAGCGGTCAACGTGCTCTACCACTTCACTTCCTATTTCTAAACTAGGAGTCAGTGTAGTCCAGTCCTGTAACAACATCTTGTATTTGGCGGGAGCAAATCGCATGCCAAACATTCTTAGACTGCAGCTCAAGGTGTTCAGAAGACTCTGCATTTTGTCAGCCTCCACGTCTAGAAGGACTATATTGTCTGCATATTCTAAGTCAACGAGATTTTTCCCTGGTAGCAAGTCAATCCCTGAGTCGCTGAAGTGAGTTAGGGTTAAGTAAAAGACACAAGTTGCTGACTACCAAAAAGATTAACCCAACCAATTTCTAAATCCAGTCTTACTTGCTTACTCTTAAAGATATTCGTTCCACTAAAAATTCAGAGAAATACACTTAAAACTTCAAAAAAAAAAAGGAACATCATTATTCATACATAAAATAAACAGTATCTTACTTACTTCAACCATACGTTGAAATAGTAAATTTAGGTATTTATCCTTTACGGGAGAATTTTTCAACAATGTCAAAAGAAAATCCTCTATGACTAGAACATTACATCCAACTGACATACACTTGATGTCAATACTTAAACCTTCTTCAATTTTCACTGTCAAATAGGAACACCAACAATCTGGACAAAATCGATGACCACAGGAGAGACCACACAGTCCATTCATTTCACGGCTATTTTCATTATCTGACCAAACATCATACATACTACTGGTAACGACGGTAGAAGGACGCGAGAGATGAAGCGATAAGGGATCATTGGTAAGTGAAGAAGAAGAAGAAGAAATGGGAGTTTTTGAATTTCCTTGTTTACAATAATTCGATTGACGGGAGGATATTTGTAAAACTGGCTCATTGAATATATTCACAGGATTATTTGACTTATTCGACGGAACTGAAAAACATATTTCACAGCAGGAGTCTAAAAGACAAAAAAAGGTATGATGGGAATTCACACTTACACATTTAAAAAGCAGAGAATTAAGCAAACATATGAAACATTTTGAATTCAATTGCTGGATGGCGACTAGAAATGGAATCTAGGATGCGCATTTCGTCCTATTTGGGACTCGTCAGTTGGAGTGCATTCCCCAGTGAGTGCCCATAGTTTCAAACGCCAAAGCGTTATCCACTAGACCACTTGGGCCACGAGAGCCACCTCTTGTGCAACGGATCATATTAATTATTTAATTGAAGTTTAGATGTTCCTGTCGATTGACTGGACCGAAGTGGGAACATCATCTGTGCACTTCAGTACAATCAATCGACGGGAAAATCTTAAATTAAATTAAATTTTCAATTCAGTCTACATTTTCAGTCACACTACCAACATATAGTTTCTTAGGATTTACTCACGAAACAAAGACAAACTAGCCCATTATAACTGACTGAATTTCAGCATGGAACTCTGCACAGAAGTGCAACAGTTCAAGTTGTTACACTCCGTATACCACACAGGGAGGCAGAGAAAAGAGAAAAAAATTCAAAAGAAATATAATGGGCAATGAATAACAAGGCACGTGTACAAATATATAAAGCAAACTATGAGAAGCTGTGTGAATCCATCGATATGATCATGAGAAATAAAGTGTGTTTGGAACGTTATCCAGTTATCAATACTGTATCACTGTGTGTTATATCAAATAAATCTGTCTAATATGAAATTGTATTCTATCACGCTGTCCAAATTCTACAATAACACTAGGTTAAGTGGCCAATTCACTCAACCACTCCACTCACCTTTTCTAAACTACAAGTTGGTGAAGGTCAGTTTTTTTCAGCATCTTCTTACATTTGACAGGGGCGAATCACACGCCAAACACTCGGATATTTCTGCTGAAGCTGTTCAAAAGACTCGGCATTTTGTCATTGTCTTCACCGCACACCCCAAGTCAACAAGACTGTCCCCTGAGAACAAGTTAATCCTTAGAGAACTAAAGCCAATTAATGTCAATTCCGTTAGTACATCTATGATGAAATTAAACGGGAAAGGGGCACCCCCTGATAGACGCGTCAGACGACAACTGTCCACAAACTCTAACAGGATCAAGTGAGTTTGAGTTGGGTGTCTTAATTAGTGCCACGCTTTTTTTCTCGGCACTCCCTTCACTGCCTGACATTGTCACACCACCGTCAGGTTAACAGAGTCAAATGCTGTCCCTAGGTTGAGAAGTATGGTGAGAGATGAACGCCAGTAAGTATATCTGTGTTCCAGGATCTGTCAAAGGGTGAAGATACGATCAATACACCTTCTCCCTGTCTGTCTGGCTTTTCCGAGTTTTTTTCCCCAAGCACTTAGTCTACGCATGTTTATTGAACCTAGGACTTTAGGTACTATGTTAGTTAAGCTGATTTCCCTATGATTATCACAAGAAGTCTTATCTATGTGCCTCTGTAAGACCAGTTACATTTGACTTTCAGTTAAGCATTTTTATGAACGAATTCTCGAATATCATTCTTTATGACGAAGTCAATTTATGCATCTGCTTTTACATATCTTGTAAGGTGTTAGGTTGACACAAAACGAAATCTCACAGTCTTACGAGTTAATCTCCCACAAGCAATAGAAGCTGAACACACAGGCTGAGCAGAAAAACCCGTAGAGCTGCTTTTATGCTTTGCTTATCCATTAAATGTAGACATACTACAATAGTTCCTTTTCCCATCCAGATCACTAACTTATCATTACTTCATAATTACTACTCAATCTCAATTTTGTCCTTTTCAACCCTTATTTGTCTAAAAACGAATCGATTTTAACAATTTAATCGCCTGGAGAAATCACCCATTTATCCATTTTTTTCTCTCTCTCTCTCTCATCACCATAAAACACTTGAGATATGCAACAACCTCTTTAACTAAGAAAATTTCACTGGGTTATTATTATTCTTATAGTTTAGTCGATACTACTTTGATGTTTTTTCCTCCCTTTATTATCTTCTCTTTGATATGTTGATAATGATAAACTGTCGTAAATTTTAAAAAAGCATAGCACACAAAGCTTAGAAAGCCATAGACTGTATTAGTCAATCAGCGAGTAGACTCACACTTACCCTATCCATTTTCTTTTTCTAAAGAAAGTTCAGTGATCCACAAAAACACTTTGGTACAGACAGGAAGACTTAATTTTGCAAGAATAAATGAAAATATTCATTCAGGAATCTATAAAACACAAAATGATTGAGCAAAGAATATTCTTTTCGATAATTTCCCCTTCTGGCTCTACAATTATATGCATATGTTTATACACATAGTATGTTCTAGATTAGTAGTCAATAACAATATTAGTGTTTTTAAATAATAATAATATTAAAAATAAAGATGTAGTATCAAATAGAATATCAACTAAAATTAAGATTTCCACAACAAATTGAGGATCATTCAAACCTAGATGGCCAAGGTAATCATAATGTCTGAACTAACTTCTTTTGGATGCACAAATTAGGCTTGTTAATATGGATCCCAACAACCAGCCTCAGCAATATTTAGTAATCGAAGTCTTAAGGCAAAATTGAGATTCGTAGGTATGCGGTTAACGTCAATCTTGTGTTCTGTATCCACAAGATGAGATAGAATAGCCCTGCGAATAGATTTTGTTTGTCCTTTGTTTAGCCACACAGGGTGATGTTCGGAAATTCGACGAGAAACACGCCGAATTGTACGGCCTATGTAACTGGCTCCACAGGAGCAGTTAAATTGGTTGATACACATGGAGGAGACAAAATTAGGCAGTTTGTCTTTTGCTCCCGAACACAATAGAGGAGTGGTTTCGAAGACACAGCGTTTCTAAGGCACTGTGTCAGCATTTCGCTGTTGTCCCCGAGGAACTGAATTTGCAAGAATAAGGCCTTTTTGGAACTGTTGGTATCTTGGGCTGCTTTGATCTTAGATTCATATTTTTACCAATACACTTTTCTGGATAGCCATTTTCACTTAGCAACCACTTAATATTATTAAGTTCCTCATCAAGATATTTATCCGAACAAATTGCTCATGCTCTGTGAACCAAGCACTTTATCAATTTGCATTTGTATTTCATGGGCACGAAGCTGAGAAAATGAGTATACTGACTCGTTGATGAAGTTTAGACATTATCCTTACCTTGGCCATCTAGTTTTGAATGATCCTGAATTTTTATGGAATTTTCCTAATTTTAGTTGATACTCTATTTGGTACTATATCTTTATTATTATTATTGTTATTATTATTATGACAATTATAATTTAAGCATCTTTAATGAACTGTAATTCCATTGTGATCTTACTTTACAAATCGACATTATTGAAAAAAAACTAATATTTTTATTGACTACTAATCTAGAATATACTATGTATATAAACATTTATATAATTGTAGAGCCAGAAGAGGAATTTATAGAAAAGGATATTCTTTTCTCAATCATTTGTGTTTTATAAATGAAAATGACAATAAGTAAAAAAAACGCAGAGTAATAGCAACTTCTGATCTAAGCGGCGATTAGTAAGAACACCGTACGACAGAGTTACGAAGTTATGTTCGCCTAACAAAGTAGAAGAAGAATTAGGCTTTGTTGAAAAATACCTTAAGGAAAACAGGTATCCAAAGGGATTTATCCTAAAGTACAACAAAGAAAGAGATGAGAAAGAGAAGTATCCAACAGTTGAAAAGAAGCAGGTGTTCGTTTGCCTCCCATACAAAGGAGAAGCAGTATCACAAAAGGATGAAAGGAGCAATAAAAAGATGCTTCCCTGCAGATAAGCTGGTGACACTATACAGCACTACATGCTCTATAACCCAATCGAAACTGGATAAGTATCCTGCTGACGCTACTTCCAACATCATTTATAAATTCACGTGCACCCGCGGTGGCATGTACATTGGAAGGACAGAAAGAAGGGCCACTATCCGGTTTCCAGAGCATATTTCAAGAAACTTATGCTTAAAAAGAAGCAGATATTTACAGCGTGGAATTACCAGACACCTTGTGGATACGGGTCATTTTGTCGAGATTTCTAAATCCTTCAAAAATATTAAACATACAAAGGACAGCGAATTTACTACGATTTGCTGAAGCAACTGGAATCAAACGTTTCAGACCAAACTTATACACACTCCTTTGGTAACCATATTACTTTGATTACAGTGATTAGTCATACACACTAGTGAGCTCAGTTCACTAAGCAAGCTTTCAATTTGATGAACTTTAATCTTCTTGAGATGCCATGTTGGCGTAAAAGCCACCACTGTCTATCAGACTTTTTTGTTTTCTGTCTTCTCTCAACCCCTTCCATTTTTTCTTTCACAGTTTCAAAACATATAAATTGGTGGTAACTTAAACTAAAGCTAATTGTAATACTCATATTCCGGATGCGTTCATCTCATAATGTTTTGTCTATTACCTATCAAACATTGAAGTATGAAATGTCATTATTTATAACCATTGTGATTCCAGGTAGTTTGCAGCTGATGAGCACCTGTGAAATAGAATGATGATGCATCATTTTATACTGCAAATCTTGTTTTGCCTTCTCTATCGAAATTTACCAAAAGAACCAAATGTATGAAATAGAAACTTAATTATGTAAGTTGTCAAAATTTACTGTTGCAGTCGACTTAGTCATTCATTAGTGTCGGTTGAATTATTATACCCAAACAAATATTTTTCTTGAAAATAAAGCTGTCAAACTAATAAACTTTACTTTTTAATAAGAAATGTATGCTGTTAGTTCCTTAAATAATCAACTGAAAATTCAAAACTTACTGCTCAATGCTTGATATCATTCAAGATGGATTCACTAACTAGAGAAAGCTGAGGATATCATACATGTTATAAATCGAAAATTTCAGTTGCTCAACGTTACAATAAAGAAAACTGATATCCAAGAAATGGTTTGTAGGAATTCGGTTGATTGGTTACTGGATCTCATCATGAGCTGACATTGG